CCAGGTACTGACCAGGCTCACACCTGCTGAGCTTCAGTGGGTTGCCAGTTGTGAGTTGCAGGGTGATATGGCTGCTGGTAAGTAATGACTTAGGAATATGTGCACGATACTTGGTTGAAGATATGGGGCTGCGATGACTTCCTAAAGGAAACCCCCTGAAAATTTCCAAACAACCAGTCTGTGCATTTAGAAAGAGATGACCCTGTAAACTCATTTCTTCACACTTTCACCTACAGTACAGACCTGTTTGCTGAGATCTCTTTCCGCGACCTATTAACACCCCCGGTTTCAGGAACTTCAAAGTGTCGTTTTCATCGATCCAGTTTTTCAAAGCCTGTCCCAAGAAACAACAGAATTCCGATCAGGCAAAGGAATGGGCATTTCGACATTACACTGATGGACTGGCATCTCATCTAGAGCGTTATCCCATCTGGCACCCTGCCGGACTCCTGGGTCTGGTTCCGGCTCAGCTCAACTCTCTGGGGATGCCAGTAACGGAAAACTAACACAGACTTCGAGAGAGAAAACATGAAGACAATCAGAATTTTACTCCCTGCTCCTCTGAGAACAAGGAAGCTTGAGCACATGAGCACATGCGTATCAGAGGAAAATAAAGGAAGGCAGGTTCAGTGATTACAAAAGGAATATTCTGCCTCACGTAAGAGGATATAAAAAGCGCAGTGCACATTCACCACTGAGTGTTGTCACAGGAAGTGAACTCTCAGTGAACGTCTCTCTCTGTTCAGGCGCATGTGCAACCAGACCCACAAAATTGCTCTTACTTCTGCCAGCGCTCTAGTCCGGACAAAGAGCACCGTCCGTGTTTGATCATTGTTCCTGTACTCCTCATCCAGGATGTACTTCAGCTCCTTCAGCTTGGGATTCTCTTCACGTTCGCAGTTCGAGAGCTGGACCAGATGTTTGTGCTCAGCTGTCAGACAATTCAAGCACATCTGTAATTGCCTAGAGAGAACACTTCCGGCCTGAAGTCTAGGTTTGATACGCGAGTGCTGCTTCTTACGTTTTTATTCTAGCATTGCTGACATGCTAGAACAAAACTCCTCATGTTCTTCATGAAAAGTGTTTGTGCTCTCAAACATTGTAAGAAGACAAGAGCGAGATTCCTGGTATATAGTTCTTGCTTTTTCAACATTCATCAGCCTTATAATCTACATGAGCTCCATTAATTACATTTAGGTGCTTAACCTAAATTACCTAAATCTAACCTTGTTTTGCACTGGCTGAAAAACTCATGAAAAAACACTACTCACATAAAACATCACATAAAAATCTCCACTATGGCCCTCATGAAACAGAGTATTAGAACCTGCAAAGGCCCTGCGCTTGTGAGCTGTAACCACTGTAAAGGAGAAAGGCAGCACATACAGTATTTTCATCTAAACAGTATTCGTATATACTGTACTGTACATTACAATGTAGAAAAACTCGATTCAATTTAGTGCATATACAGGTTACACATTGTACTGTACATACCATCAAAAAAAGCTGTTATCTTCTGCTCTGTTTCATCAAATCCTGCATTCCTGACTTGGTCAAAAAACGCTTCCAAGTAAACCAGTGCATCTTTTGTCCGTGCATCTTCATTAATGATAAGGGCATCATTATATTTCTGTAAAGAGAAAAAGGGAACATTTTCTACTCAAAATTAAACAAAATGCCACTTTTTTAAAGAAAGTCCCTTCTAAGCAAAACACTGTCAAGTGTAAAATATGTTATTTTTTTCTCCACTGGAACACCATTATAATAATGGTCAGTTATGGAATCCGTTCACACTTATAGATTACGAATACAGGCCTTTCACACACATCTTCTAGCTGCGTGCTGTTGTAACTACTCAGCAATAACTGATCTGGACAGCCGTGACATTCAGAAGTTAACGTTCTTCAAAATGTAACAAGAGGTGCTCATTCATTTTCTAGCCGATTGTGTCTTCTTTTAGCCGTTAAAAGATACAGTGTCTGCTGATTAGTGCTGTACATGATGCTTTACATTTAATGATCTGCATCAAGGACCATTTACACTCAAAGAAATGTTGATTTTATCACCAAAATATCTAGATAGACAAAGTTCTGAGACTTATGATTTGACATGATCATAAAACCCTTTGTTTTGTTTTTATATTAACTGTGTATTTCTCTGATAGTGAGAAGCAAATTATTGCAACTCCACACTATGGGATTAAAACAATGAATCATTATGTAAGAAATATCTTCGTAACATGTTCATGGTAAATTAGCTTTAAATTATGTTTTGCAATATCAGAAATAATTTGCATGCGCTGTATCTTGTTTTATATAACAAAAGCCTTGAAAACATCTATGGTGATGTAACATCTGGTAAAGACCAGGTTTCTGCTTTCATTGTGTCATACGGATATACAGTAGGCTCATTTTTAAAGTCTGTCATGTCAGAGTCTTGGGCAGTTACAATGGGCAAACCTTGTGAACATACTGTGAGTATATTACTTCTATTGATGAGGTTCTCTTTAGTTTGGAGAAATCGATGAATTTATTTTGCCCCATTTCAGATTCCTGTTCACGCTGCCACATGAACCACGGCACCCGCATGGCTTCTGGACTCACCCTTAAGTGTTCAGTGTAATTGAAAAGAGCTCGGCAAACTCTGCTCTCTTCCTTTTTGTCCGACAGCTGCAGAACTTTACACCTTTTCTGCACATCTACGATCCACTGTTCATACTTCTGTGTCCCATAATCCCGGGTCTGAATGTTTGACAGGGAGTCTGACGAGAAACGATACACACACATTTTAGAGTTCTGTAAAAAAAACAACATATGGCTTTCTGTGCTTGTGGTGCAAGCAGAGGATTTAGGACTTTAGAATATGACACAGGAAGTACAGTAGTTACCTATGTTATAAAGATTCCTGGCAAGGCCTTCAATGTTAGACATTATTCTACAAATGATGGAAATGAAGGGGTCACTGGTCCGTTTTTCCACTTGGAAGAAAACTTCGAAAGAAAAGAAGAAGAAAGTCATCCATTATAACATAACATCACAATGTAAATCACATAGGACACATAGGAGTGTGTGGCCACCTTTGGAAGCAAAACAAGCTGTACATCTGAGACATGTTTTGGACCATGTAGCTGATTCCGCCATGTGAAAATCTATCCCATTCCTCTCACAGAGTCAGGACGGAAGTGTGCCTGTCCACTGTCCACAAGATGTCACAAGTCTAGCATGTACAGTGTCCATGGCACAACTGTCACATTCCCTTAATTTAAAGAATGCGGTTGTTCCACAGGCAGCATACAGACATGCATTGAGCTGCTATAATCCTGTCATTTTAGGAGGAAGGGCAGCAAGAGAGATCCCAGGACTTGAAGGCTGTAGCACCAGTCAGTCAAGCTGACACCAATCACTTCAAGTTCTGTGGTGATCAGACACACTGGGCTCGACCATCCAACATGGATCTCCCCATTGATTAGTCTGTTGGGCATCGTTCTGCACATTTGCACCACATTGACATCCATCAAGCTGGTCTACACAACACATGGCCTCATCTCTACAGAGGTTTTTGAGACCACTGTTGGCTAGTACTTGCATATCATCGTCTGTGATCAGACCTACAACTGTGGTGTCATCTGCAAACGTGATGATGGAGTTGGTGTTATGTTTGGCCTTACAGTCGTGGATTTAGAAGGAGTAGAGCAATGGACTAAGCACACAACCCTGGGGGACCCCAGTGTTCAGAGTTAGTGTGCCGAGATGTGGTCTCCAAGCCTGACAGCCTGGGGTCCAGAATCCAGTTGCAGAGGGTGGTGTTGAGACCCAGTGCACTGAGTTTCTTTACTAGCTTCTCTGGAACGATGGTGTTAAAAGCTGAGCTGAAGTCGATGAATAGTAGTCTTGCGTATACAGTATGTTCTTTTTATCCAGATGGGATAGGGTGGTGTGTATGGCAATGGAAATTGTGTCATCTGTGGATCTTGGACCAGTAGGCAAACTGGTATGGGTCCAATGTGTCTGGAATGATGTCCTTAATGTGCCCCATGACCAGCCTCTCTGGGCACTTCATGATGACAGAAGTTAGTGCCACCGGGTGGTAGTCACTAAAGCATGTCACTGTGGTTTTCTACGGCATTGGGATGATTGTGGTTGTCTTGAAGCAGGTGGGGCCTACTGCTATCGGAAGCAGAGAAACTGGGAGAATGAAAATGATCAAGAATGTGGAGCACGATGATGTGTCAATCTTGGCGAAGTGTTGCATTGTAACTCATAATCTACCAGATCATGGTCTATCACTGATGGACTGTGTCTGCAAAACCTTACCAGGTTAGAAACAGTAGAAATAGAAAAGCCAAAGCCTTTATCCACTAAGGATCTTGCCAAAGGAGCAAAGGAGCCCCCAATTAAGATTATAAGCACTACAGGGCAAGAGGGGTGAAGTATAAAAATGCATTTGACCTCTATTTATAGTGTACTGAAAGAACAGAAAATTGCAGAAATTGTAAATGATGTGTTGAATAAGAATTTAATTGGAACCTTGATGAATGAGGAAACTTAAGTGTATGTGTTTGATGTTTTGGACACTTCTGGGCAGACAGCAGTGGAAACTGACATTATTTGCCCATCCACCGTAACCATGCGAGTATCTCAGTTACTGTCATGCTTTCACTAGCACAGCAATTCAGCAGACACATTACAAGACCATTTTACCCATTCCACCTTAGATCTCCTTGGGTGAAAACAGGGTGCACAAAAACTTTACACTCGTTGAGTATATAAGACTACATTTTTCTACAAATTCTTATTGTTACCTTTTTCAGGGATATTTACAAATGATGTAAGTTCCTCCTGGTTTTCCTTCACAGTTGAAATGACCCTCACATCCAGGTTTGCACACAGCTGACATATATTATGAGCTGCTTCATCTTCATTCTTGAAACTTCCTATTCCAACTGAAGCTGTCAGCCCAACAATCTACTCATCAAATAAACGATAATAATAACAGAGGGAATAACAAAACTGTGAAGTTAACTTTGTTTTTCACGGTTTCATTTGGTTGTTCTGCCGAGAGTAAACAATTAGAAACTCTGATCACGTGAACTTGTCCTCAAAAATAAGCTATTTTTTATTAACAAAGAGTTACATTGTGATCTAGTGAAAGACTTATACTGTTGTCTATTATTAGATACTCACAGATCAGATGTCCAGGAGATGTTTATGGGTTTAATATTAGCAGGGACATTTTTTAAAGTTTTTAAAGTGAAAGCATCTCCAGGAAAACATCTGGAATGTTTGTAGTATTTGATCAAATGTAGCAGATTTCGCATTAGAGATAAAACTGGAATTGAAAGTTCCTGTATCTTGTAAAGAACAATAAATTCCTAAATTCTTCTTTCAGTAGTTGTGCTCATATATTTGCATTCCTGAAGACATAACTATTGTACAACTGTTGGAGAATGTATATTTCATAGTTGCCTGAATACACATATATTCAGATACCTGTATATAAATATACTGTACTGCTTTCTCCTCAGTTAAAAGTGTTTTACAGCCATTGATAAGGATGTTGTCTCATAAGTGGAGAACAGGCATATTTGTCCACCTCCTTATACTTGGAAAACCGTATGACTCCTGACAAAGCCTGAAGAATCATTTGAGATTGCATATTTTGAAGGGAGACTTCAGGTAACACTATGCTTCACGCTAATGTGAAAAAAGCAGCTGTGTGTATAGAGAAAATTATATACTGTATTTTAATAAACCTAAACCCTAAGAAAGGCAATTTTATTCATCTTTCCTGCTGTAAATGAAGAACATTTTAGACTACTGTAGAATATTATAAAGAGGACCTGCCATGAATTCAACAATGCATATTAACACATAATGTAGGAATTGCAGTGAAAAAAGAACAATCTCCTTCATCACCAATCTTGGTGTAAATATCAAACCTTTGCAGGAGTCTCTGGCCTGGATCCTGCATAAGGACACAGGCCAAGACGTCTTACACTACTGTGATTGAGACTGGTGTTCTGTCACACACACAGTATCTCTAAGTGAACTTTGCTCCTTATACATGACACAGGCTCTGAATTGGGAAGTTCAGGAAATGGAAGCCTGGAATATGATTGAAAAAGGCCCGTTTACTGTACCTGAGGCAGCGGTCCATTCTTTTTATCTATTTTGCAGTCCAGGTAGTTGGTCATAAGGATATTGTAGGCATGCTTTCCAGTGGTATTGTGGCATTCATCAAATATCAGGAGAGTGAAGAGAGACAGTGATAGCACCTCTCTAGTTTTAATAGCATTTACCAAAATCTGGGGCGTCAGTACAATGATGTCATTGTTTTGTATAATCATTCCCACGGGAATATGATCTCCTGTGTCACCGCAGAGACCTGCAACCCTACATAAAACATTCAAAATGTCAGCGGTGTCGTTTAAGAGGGTCTCCCAAACATTTATTCATATTGAAGAAAATCCTTTACGTTTTTGTAATGGGGAGAGAATGAAGGTTATGGACATTGACATTGTAATTAATACACCATATTCCGGCTTCAGCGATCATACAGAAAAAAAATTAATTGAATCACCAGAAAGGAAGGCTTAAGGAACAAACTTTTTAACCTATATAACTTCTGTGAAAACAAGTGAGCTCAAGGCAGATAGCAGAAGTAAAGTTATTATTCTTTCGGGATGACCTCTATTCATTTGCAAACGTTCTTATTTTTTGTGAACAAGGATTCATCAAATCATCCTACAGTTTAAAACGACATCACTGATGTCTTGTAACTTTGCAATTACATGCTATTAACAAGAACTGCACACACACAAAATGATTACTGATTAAATATAGAAAATGTCACGGATGTCGAAGAGGACAAACCGTGGAATGGCAGGAGAGTGAAAAGACCCTATGCGTAGCGGCGAGACGGGAGTTAGCCCGGGCTCAGCTGTTCAGGAAATGCCGTATAGAAACCTATGCCCTCAGGTAGCGGACGTGGGGCGACCTGGTGCTAGGCGGGTTTCAGGACATCCGAACGTCAATGCTGAGCGAGGGCAGAGTGCAAGACCCGGAAATATATAGTCCCAGAGAGAGAGAAACACCGGAAGGACAGCAGAGAACCGGAAAAGAGAGACAGGACAGAGAAGGAGCAGCCAGAGGGCGTGAGAGAAAATTGTCTAAAATCTGTGCTTACTGAACTTCTTCATTTCCATCCATAAAATGACTGCGGAACAGTGCGTATTGCTGTTCATACACATCCACCTTTGTGGCCATGAAGACAATCTTAGGCTTCCGTTCATGTTTAGCTTTCAGGTGATTTTCGCAGATGGCAAGAGCCACAACTGTCTTTCCACAGCCTACAAAGAAAACAAACATCATTTTTAAACTCACACTTTCATTCACTTCTTCCAAAAAGTAGGAGAGGGAGCAGAAATATTAGTAATTGGTGTTTCTATTCCCACACCCATTTTAAATTTACACAACACATTTTTGTCATAATATTCAATCACCTGAAAGAAATGTCTCCTTTCCCCCCCCTTACCTAAATATCTGGAATAACAATTTTATTAAAAATGCATTATTCTCCACAAAAATGGGAGATGAAGGATTTATCAGTGCCTCACAGGGACAGACCTGGTCTCAGGTCTCTTACTGTACGGTACCTGTTGGAGCGCAGATGATTGTGTTTTCCCCGTTAAAAGCCGGCACTGCCAGCTCCTCCTGGTACTTCCTCAGCTTCCTCCTTGCACGGGATTCAGCCAGGGAGCTGCTGTTACTCGTTCCTGCAGCAAAACATTTAAACATGCTCAGCAGCGATTGTTGGAAAGAGACCCAAAACACATTTTAACGTGAATAGGGGTTATAAAGTAAAATGTGAAAACGGTCATGAATGAAGTCTTTTGAAACAGAAAGAACGCGTGTATGATTACGTTACAGGTGTGGCTGCTGCCACGGAAACTGCGGTTCTGGGACTTTAGTGTGACATACGAAAGTGCGGGCCTCAAGCACTTGAAATGGTATCCAATAGATTGAGTGCTGATGAATGAGAATTCATAAAAAGAACATGGCGTGACTGATAAGCAGTGCAACTCCCCAATCAGTGTTCTAAGCCCAGCTCCATCACTAAGGCAGGGGAATTCAGTATCTATACCCATGACAATGGCACGATAGTACATTCGTACTATCACATATTCATAAGCTTACAAATGAGTATTGCAAAACCTTTAAAACATATAATAAAAACAAATAATTGCCACTTATTTTTGCTGTACATTTTGCTCATCCAATTTGAAATAGCCAAAACAACAAACAACAACATCTTGGGCGTTTTGAAAATGTAAAATATTTCTGTGTTTTGAGCGCACACTATTTGATTACATTGTCGTTATTATTTAAAGGTGTAATACCTGGCTGTCCATTAAAGTTTCCACTTAGGCAGTCCACGTCAGCTTCTTCTCTGTACTCAAAGCGAACGGTGGCTTCACCTTCATTTGCCTCACTGTCATCTGCTGCCTTTTCATTTTCTACAGGAAGAATTCCAAAACAAGGATGAGTCACACTCGTCATTCACCCCAGCCTGGAGCTAATGATATTATTGTTAACAATAACTTGCTCTGCAGGGGCCCTTAACCAGCGTGAATTGAATATTAATACAATTGAATGCCTTTTTAGATTTTTAAACCACTCTCCTCGATATTTTATTCACCATTCCCAGGAAAAATGGAAATAATTTACTAAACCTGTACTGTGCTTCTTTATTATTAATAAAAATCTACACCTCAACAGTTTTTGTTCTTGTAGAAACTTAACCTGCAGGAGCAGGGACTCAAACGGCAGAACCAGAAAGCTGCTGATGAAGGAGCCGACAGCAGAAAATACATACCCGTATCATCTAGTAACTCGTAGGCAACCATGTAATTGCAGTTTTGCAGCGCTAGCGTCAGGGTCTTGTACCAGTTGGATTTGTCTGACCTTTTCAAGCATTCAGTAAACTTTTGAGCTCCAGCAATGTTCCCTTTTTGAAGACTGATCTGAGAAAAACACTATTATTAGTCACAGTGTGACATATTCAGGGCACTTATAAAGTTATTCAGCCCCTTCCCAAGAACTTACTACGAAACATGTGGAATGAAATGTACACAAAGCCATGAAATGTGGAACTAAATGGAACCAAGAAGTGTATCCTCTCATGGAAAATGACAAGACACCTCAGGGCACTAGCATCATTAATGAACACCAAACAATGCATTCAGGCCTTTATTGATGTAAATGTAGATCACAGTGAGATCGTATAGTGCCCTGTACTGTGTTTCTGATATGTGTACTTTCTTTTCATCCCCACTTAAGGTTTCTTGACCAAGAACAAAATAAGGCTTATATTAAACCACCTGATCTCATCCTGTCAATCCATGCACCAACTGAAACGTCAATGCTGAAAAGGGGAAGCTACCTGTAAATATTTATCTGTTCAAATGATAATTGTCCCACGAAAAATACATCCTTTGATTGGTACAGGATGCGAATGGTGAGTGATCCCGAATGGGGCCAGTATTCCTCACATCAACACCCCAAGGTTGGATGGGAAGAGTAAGGATGACTGAAGGGAGTTACTAGAACACAGGGGTAATCAATCTGTTGTTACCTAGACCAAACGTTCATCTCAAGGTTTCCATAACCCAAGCTATTCCAAAGCTTTCCTTCATTTCCTTCCAACATTATTGCAGCAACGCAACATGGGAAGGCAACTTAACAACTAGTCATATTCCAAGTCTATGGATATTTTCCCAGCTTTATAGAAAACCAGGGACTTAACAAAATTCCATAAGGACGCACTCTAAAAAGAAAAGTAAGACACCGATTTCCACCTACTGCCATGATCTCCTCACATTCACGGGCAAGGAGGCAGTCCTTCATGTGGTTGATCATTTCTGTCGGCTTTATCTGTTTAGTGAAAGACTGTTCAATACGATCCAACAGATGCTTAAAAGGTTCCATACTGTCAATGTTTTTAAAGTCCCATTCTTTAATCGCCTCATAAAGTCCAGTGTAACCTTCAAACGAAAAGGGACAAAGGGCACATTTGTCACGTTAGGAAGCGTTACGTTTTTAATGTTGATTCTAAGTCTAAGTCTATATTAAACTAACATACTGAACATCAAATGAAACCACTATTTGTGCGGGTGACTTTTCAGAAAATTAAAGTATATGGATTTTGGCTATCGGTGAGCTTCCTCCAGTTCAGTTCAGGGTCACCGGGGGAGTCGGAGCCTAGCAGCCATATCACCCTGCATCTCACAACTGGCAACCCACTGAAGCTCAGCAGGTGTGAGCCTGGTCAGTACCTGGATGGGAGACCTCCTGGGAAAAACTAAGGTTGCTGCTGGAAGAGGTGTTAGTGGGGCCAGCAGGGGGCGCTCACCCTGCGGTCCATGTGGGTCCTAATGCCCCAGTATAGTGACGGGGACACTATACTGTAAAACAGGCGCCGTCCTTCGGATGAGACGTAAAAACCGAGGTCCTGACTCTCTGTGGTCATTAAAAATCCCAGGGCGCTTCTCAAAAAGAGTAGGGGTGTAACCCCGGTGTCCTGGCCAAATTTCCCATTAGTCCTTACCAATCATGGCCTCCTAAAAATCCCCCTCTATGAATTGGCTATATTACTCTGTTCTCATCCCCACTGATAGCTGATGTGTGGTGAGCGTTCTGGTGCACTATGGCTGCCGTCGCATCATCCAGGTGGGGCTGCACATTGGTGGTGGTGGAGGGGAGTCCCCATTACCTGTAAAGCGCTTTGAGTGGAGTGTCCAGAAAAGCGCTATATAAGTGTAAGCAATTATTATTATTATTATCCTGGCAAACAACAGGTGCAAGGCAGGATACACCCTGAACAGAACAGCAGTCCATCGCAGGGCAGATGAACGTGAATACGCACGCACTCGGGGTTCCAGGGCCAAGTTTCCCAGAAGCCAATTAACCTACCAGCATGTCTTTGAACTGTGGGAGGAACCGGGAGCACCTGGAGGAAACCCACACAAACACGGGGAAACCATGCAAACTCCACACAGACAGTACCACAGCCCCAGAATTGAACCCAGGACCCCAGAGCGCCAAAGCGCCAATGCTTACCATTGTACCACCATGCCACCCCTAGTCCACTTCTCCGATGCAAAATGATAAAACGCAGGTCTTTATTTGCAACTGTTTAAACCTACCTTCTGCCCTCAGTGTATTCAGAAAGGCCACAAACCACCCATCCTGGTCCAGTGTCCACAGGCTCCTCATGAGCATTTCTGCAGCGCTTGTGACAGATATACCCTCTTCTGATATAATCTGCTCTGCTTTCTCTGTAGGGCATAAACCATAGTCTTCAGGAGATATTGGGTCTTTGAGTTTGTGAGTTGAATTGTGTCAAATCTACAATTTCAACCTGTTACTGTCAGACTCTAACGTTTTATTTTTGTAAATGCAGTGGGAAAAGTTTTAACGTTTAGAATATTGAATCATCTCATGAAAGTACCGAAATAAAACAAATGCCAAAAAAAAAAATAGCCACCACCACACGGAAATATTGCTTACCATAAGCACTTGCGTACATACTGTATATAGTATAACATTAAGACAGAGCTCAACAGTCAAAAACGTTGTGCACATCCAACAACGTACTCATTTAATATGTAAGAATTTCAATGATTAGCACAACGGACAGTTCTGTTAAGCAACTGAGATTTGCTGTTGTTCACCCTATTGAACTTCAAAAGTTAAAGCTTTTGAAGCTGCTTGTTATTTACTGCCCAAAGGGTGACGAGAGGTGCAGTCATTCACCCAGACTGCACACGAACACCACGGGAGACCGTCCTCTTTGTGCTGCTTTAATGCAAGTCCTTTTTCTCTGCACTGTCTCCAATTCGGTATATATGAAAATGTAAATATGTAGCAGGTGGGTCTCCTTACGCCGTCTGACAGGTGAAGGGAAGATTTGTGAGGTGGGAGCTGTGCCCAAGACGCACAGCCGAAGTTCCCAACTGGATGCTCAGTGCAAAACGAGACTTCAGTCACTGGTGCGACCGATTATTTTCCTACTAATAATACGAAACATAATTCCATTTATACAGCACTTTTCTGGACACTCCAATTAAAGTGCTTCACAGGTGATGGGGACTCCCCTCCACCACTACCCATGTGTAGCCGCAATGCGAGTACAAGTTACTGCTTGCTTGTTGAGCTTGTTGACTTTCGTTTGCATTCGGCCAGTGGTTTAAAAAATTATCCCGATTAAAAAAAACTATCACTTCAGCACACAGCGCACCCTTTCTATATCGAAGCCGTCACATTCCTAACGACACAATTTGTTGTTTTTGTTTTTATCAGGCCCTCTTTGCAGCATTGCGATAAATAATAACTTGACATACCTGGACGGAGATAATCCACCATAAATTCCTTGATGTAGGAAGGGCGGAGTATTTTGACAATATAACTGTTGAACCTCTTTAAGTTTTCCTTTTCTAATTCATACATTTTTAGTTTAGTCCTTCTGCAGAAACAGACGGTAAAACAAGAAGCTGCACTCTCGATAAACAGCCTGTTGAGACCTTACACAAACCCCTCCTAGTTTCGCTTCAAGTTAATGACGTGTTTTGGAAGCTGAGCTGGAACAGAAACGAAACTGTAGAGAAAAATGAAACCGGAGACATGAGCGTTGTTGATTTTTTCTTTGACACAGCGCAACATTAGTAAAAGGGGTGGCCTTAAAAAATTTAAGGTAGAGGTTTGTAACCCACAATTAATATGCTAACACTTTTAATATTTTCACATCTCCGTACATGCAGTTTTAAATCTCACGATTCAGTTTCAGCTTTCTTTCAGTCTCCGGTTCGCAGAGTTAAACGAATGCGCAAGAAGTCATCGTGCTGATGTGGGGGGGCTCTCGGAGCTCAGAGTTAACTGTTTGAGAAGGATTTTAGACCCCACTTGTACCATTTTTAAGCTGGTGGACGTCCGGTTTCCTGGAAAACGTAAGCTGAAAACAGAACATAAGGATGTTAAGAAACAGGAGAAGGTAATGTGGCCATTCTAGTACCTACTGTAACTGATCCAAATACAGTATCTCATATAGCACTTTTGTTTCAAAGAAGCCAGTGTATCAGCTTCAACAACATGGTAAGGAAGGTCAAGGACCATTTGCTTGCAGTCTTAAAAGAGCCCCCTGATCCCAACCACGATGATACAGTAAATGCTGCTATTTAACACCTGCTACCACCTCCTTTTACTTTGCGGAATTTTATTAAAGGGTTAAACAGAGAAGTAAATAAATGTCGCATTAATTTTCTGGATCTCAATTGTAACAAATATGACTTTGTTCTTTGCAATACTATCATGATCACATTCTAACATAACTCGGTTTTTTTTAAGTGAAAGACTATCCAACCTGTAATATTCAGTTACATAATTTTGGTTCCTATTTTATCGGTATTTTGAGCTGACAGTCAGGAATAAAGGGCTGCTGTTTTATGAATGAAGTGTCTTTAGTCTTTTGCATCCTGAACTGTTTTTTAGAGATGGGGGCTTTCCTTACTGCAGCCCCTCGGGGGAGCGTGGTCATTTTGTGGTCAGAAACAAAGCATGAT